ATGAATGTATTTGCGGTAAAAAAATAACAAATAGCGTCAACTACTTCCAAAGTGCAATAACAAATAAATTTGTAATTGACATCGGTTGCAATCTTGACCTATACCACTAACGTTCCAATTGATTTAATAAAAAACTTAAAATAACATTAAACATACGCGGATCAACGAGGACGAAAGCTCATAATTCCTCCTACTCTTTCAACACCAGATTAGCAGCCACTTCTGCACACCGGTGCGCAGTTTACTATTACCAAAGTAGACATTGAAACGAACCAAATACTGAGACCGCCGCCACAATAAATTAAGGAACGACACTCGCGTGGCTGAATGATTCGGGTTCGAGAAGAAGAGCCGAAAGTGAAGAGAGAGCGGCGGATTTACGTGGTTGGAAAGTCCTAGACGGAACCTATGGCAAAAACTTTCCCGCATTTGATTCTGTTTTGGTACGAACTCGACAGTTTTCAGCAAAGCGGGGTGCAGTTGACAACTGCCCAAGACCATTTGATTAAGAACCGCAATGCATCGATATTTGGGATGCAGGATGCAGTAAACAACACAACTGATTATCCTAGCAAAAAATCTTATTTTGAGCTCTATTTATCCTGTGTCTTGGATTACCCAAGTTTTCTTCACAAAAGCAACTTTACTGTTAAGCTCGAGTTTACAATTTTATGGCAATTTCTCGATAGCAAGTTACTAAATTTTATGACCGTTTAGCGACGTCTGTTTTTCAAAAATTCATGCTTACCTGTTCTTCGCTTCTGTTTATATCGTTCCAAGGGGAATTGCTTTCAAGCATTAATTACGTGATTGGGATGAGCCCTTCATTTCGTGCTTTGCATTCTGAATTAAGATTTTTGTGCAATTTCTTTCCTCTAAATAGGTTTCCGTCACAGCTAGTGTTAAAAAAAGCCATAGTTAAAATTTGCGTCTAGATGACACAAACAAGTTGTTCTCGAGGGTAATAAATGGAACGTTGATTCCTTTTTATTTACATAATTGATAAATTGAGAAATTGTTGAAAAATATATTCATGAAATACCTTCCAAATGTCCATCTTCATGCATGGTTTGTACCTTTTTCAAGGCGGTCCTTTCATATATAAATGAACTTTTCCCTTGACGATCGCCTCCAGTAAATAAATATACAGTTAACTGCAATACACAGCAGCACTATTTGTGATGACATCACGCAATTTCTATGCTGGACTGGCGGAGCACAAAGGGGGAGTTAACGAACTGGATATTCACTAGCGCATCCCCCTCATTTGTTTGTACGTATTCACTAAGAGAAATGAAGCCTCCGTGTATTCGATAGTAACTTTAAAATTATAGCTACCACAACGGCGTTTCCGGCAAGCGGGTTTTATCGTCAATTTACATTTTTTTTACTCTCTAAATATCTTATTTTACGTAATTCTTATACTTTTAAACCGGAACTTATTTTGAATGCCGCCTTTATTTCTTATATACTGTATCTAGAGTTATGAATATAATAGTTGCTCATTGAGCTGTGTATAATTGATAAATTCAGTTTGTAACGCCTGTTCATTTCAATCGTATCAATTTATTCTTTTTATTCGAGTACGCTTGAACCGACGACGGAGCTGCCTCCAGAATATTCTTAATGAAGACATGAATTTTTTAGAATTTCTTTAAATTTAAATTCTCCATCAAAACTCGTGAAAAAATGTCGAATTCAGTCACGTTTCGATCTAACACATGAAGCCAAATCTTCGGAAAACAAGCTTTGTACTATTAAAAGAAAATAATTCACCAAGTCAAGCAAAAATAACACTATTAAAAGAACAAAATTCACTAAGGCTTCGAAATGTACACTATTAAGAAAAGAAAAAAAAAAATAAACAGAAAATAACACCTAAATGAAAATAATTTACTAAATCTATCGAAATTAACACTGTTAAAAGAAAATAATTCATCAAATGATGAATTCATCAATTTATCATTTTTGCCGAGAAAATAATAAGCGGACGCAGGCAGTTCCTTTTCATTGCAGTATGCAACGAACGCTCGGGCTCTGTGTCTCAAATGCAGAACTATTTCGTCCAACTTTTATTCCAGTCAAATTTGATATCCGTCATCCCAACTTACTTCTCTGTTGTGGAAGTTCAACTCCCACGTATATCTATCTCCAATTGCTCGGGATGGAGATGGAGTTTTTTTTACTAATTTCGAACTCTTCTCAAAGACCGCCTGTTCGGCGAAGGCTTTAGTACTTCGTTCAGCAGGCTTAATGGTAGCTAAAGAAGTCAGTGGTTAGTGACGAACTTGAAGTTGTGTAATTGACGATCAAATTTAAGTAGACTCGCTCTTTGGCCCAGAAAAAAAGCCCCAATAGAGCCAATAAGGTACTTGCTAAGACCATTTAAATATAATGATATTTATTTAACGTGAACATTTCCTCCATTATCGAAGCCCTGCATCACTATTATCGAAGCATTGCATTTCTTAGTTAAGAGGAGTTTGGAAGTTCTGAAGTGGGCACCAGTGTGCTGAAACGATAGCTGTTCGTGTGTTTTAATCCGAAAAAAATTTGGCTGCGGACCAATTTTTTTACAGGTGCTGCCCATGACTCTAACCACGTAAGCCAGCGGCTCTCTTTCTACTAATAAGGTTCTACTTCACGAAGTCAAATCAGACAGCTACGAGCATGTCGTTCTTTATTCTGGCGGCTGTTCTACGGAACGTACGTATTAAATAGGATGTGTTTTCCAGTGTCAGCGGCTGTTATTGTCAGAATTAAACCAAAAAATTCAATAGCAAGAAGGGTGGGGTCACTGGATGCACTTCATTTCCCTCATTTGAACTAAATGCTTATAGAAATAAGTCGCTGGATACAATGCGATTTATAGAAAACTCGAAACACTGGATTATAATGTGGATACGAAGAAATTCGAATAATATTAAAGAATTAGAGCAGGAAGTAGTTCACAATTGTCTAGCGCTGAATAAAAAGAAAACGCAGTAATCTTAGCTAGACTTCGTTGTTCGCGCGTTTTCAGCTAAGACATGAACAAGAAATTTAGCATGAATGGTACCAATTCTTGTTGGAAAATAAATTGGTGATATTGAATAAATCGGTCTGCACCCGGCATGAAACCTCCCTGTTAGGATCAGAATTTACAACAACCGAGAAGGCTCTCAATAATAGTATTAGGTTTTTAAATAGCACGTCACCAGCTACAACACGTCACCAGCTACAACACGTCACCAGCTACAACACGTCACCAGCTACACCACGTCACCAGCTACACTACGTCACCAGCTACACCACGTCACCAGCCACACCAGGATAAGGCATACTAGTTTGAAACAACTCACTCCAGAATGTTTGCGCAGTAAAACCGATTCTGCGTTCTTCCGTTCTAGTTTGCTGCACGTTATTCACTCTCACATTTATAAAACACTTCTATAAAATATATTAGCTAATATTACACATTATCTTACATTGGACGACCAGAAATAAAATGCAAGTAAACCACGTAAGTTGCCGATGTCTGTGTGCGGGACAGCAGGACAATCAGTGTAGTCTAGAAAGTTAACAGGATTGGCCGCGTTTCTAGATTATAAATTTCGGTAAGTACTTGTACTAAACTGAAGATAAAGCTTGTCGGCGCAGTCATGTTACCAAGGGAAGTTAAACATGGTACGGCTTAATCCTAACCGCACAGGCTGCAGACCCCCTGAACTGTTCTTATGCATAGATTGACGCGGCCAATATACAGTTATCGATATAAATAGCATTAGGAAATTCTTAAGAAAGTGCTATTCAAATAAAAATTCCTGTCTTCGAAAGTGGAGTATTGGCTTCTACTCGTCACGAAGATCAATGCCCTCCGATTTTCATGAGGGTAGTGAAAGTGACATGAACGATTAATGAATAAGAGTCTCATGGATTAGATTCAATGCCGCAGCGGTGTCGTTGCTAAATTTGCTAGTCCGTTTCTTGGTGAACTAAATTAGTCTGCTTAAATTCTTGGTCAGCTTGCGGTTGAAGCAAACTAATGCAACCAGTAAGACTAAAATCCTCAATGAGGCTAGATAGCTTGCAAAAAAAATTGCCAATAATGACTTCATAGTCCGCGAACGGTTCAGCTTCCAGCAAGTAGTACGATGAATTTGGCAAGGTTTGCACGCTATGAAGATTAAAGGAGATAATCAGGGGCCGTGCTCTGTCACCGGGCAAGTTGAGGTTCACTGGCAGAGCCGCACAGCAATTGGATGAGGAAGGCGCTTCTGATCAAAGAAGGCACCCGAGGCGGCGGCTTTGAGTGATTTAGGACGAGCTAAGCTGCGGATCACACCTAAGACATTTATTTAGTTTGATGACACGCGCCACTGAACCTCGCTTGAGCAGAACCCATCGTGAAGCAGGACTGCCTTGTAATTCAATTCTTAAATTGCGGCCTGGGTGAACTGCAGAATTAAAATTAGAGAAATGGTGGGAGCGTGGAAGTAGATGTGAAAATGAGCCTTTGAATTTTCTAATTCTTCACGTTCCTGGTTGCGGCATTGAAACTATATGCAGTTCAATATTAGTGAAGGGAAATTAGTGAATTGATCAACAAAATACTGTTGATATAATTTATCACACTGAAAGCTGACTTTCGCCAGCGTCAGCTATTAAATATCCGTAAATTTCAACGTTTCAGCTCAAACTATGCAATCGGGATTACGGGATTCTATAATCGCGCGGTAAATAAGATTACACCAACAGAGTTTTGGGTGCTGGTCGATCTACAAGAGAAACTCAAACATTTTCACAATTAACGCAACAAGTTTCCTTCATAAAAATAACATAGCGTTTAATTGCTCGACGATGAAGTAAGATGTTGATGTCTAATTTGTCTGAACTGAAGCGACAATCGCGTAGCGTAGGAAAATCGGAATTTTCAAACTAGTGCGCCTGCAATTAGTTACAATAATGGTCGATGTTGTAATAAACGGTGACTAAAAAGTAGAAAAAACTTATTTACTCACCGAAGTGTCAAAATGTGTTCGGAGAAACGCCTCCAGCACAGGTTAAGCCGTAAGGAGATCGCGCGGCGAGCTCGATCGGCTAAGACACACACTGCACACACATCCTTCTTGCACGCCGGCCACCGGCACAATGAATGTCATGGCATCACGAAATTACTGAATGCAGTCGAAATTTTGAACTTTATTTCCTCAACGAAGCAGCAAAATTAAGCAATATCCAGTAGATACTATTAACAGTATTTGTTATTTTTGCGTTGAACCTGAATTGATGAAGTTTATTCTAAGAGACCAATCATAAGGAACAGTTCGGTGTGACGTTCGCCCAGGTGAGATTTCCGCATTTACTGCGTGTCTGCATTTAAAAATAATGAAGATCGGGCAGATCAATCATGCAGAATGTCTCATTGTGACGTTTTTCATGCATAACATCTTGCGAGAGAACTTTGCCCCATCAATTCAGCTAAATTTCATTGGCGTTTCTAAAGTCTAGGTTCAATTGTTGAAGCCGTCTTCTCTACAATGCTGCTAATTTCTTATTTGTTGTTAACATTTTGAACATAGATCGCATTTTGGATCTTATATGCACCGAAATTCATTCATAATTGTCAAACCAATGCGCGCTCGGTGAACAAAATTTTCTAAGGTTTTATTAAGACGAACACAACTCAAATTCATTTGTCTTTCTTTCTCTTTGAGAAAACCCATCGATTTCAAACGCGTACAAATAATTTGTGTTTGCTTGTCTGCACAATCCTTTGGGTTAAACCACAACACAAAAATTGACGTTAATGTTTTCTCATTCAATATAAAGAAAAAGTGGGTGTCATTATTTTTAAAGATGCTCCTGATCATGCATTAAAGTTTGATAAAATGCTTTGTTACTTGCACAGATTGCATAACAGCTTTCCAACGATATATTGTTGAACATGTTATTGGGGCCCCGGAAAACGCAGTAAAAGCGAAGTAAAATTGTTTAAGATTAACCAATTAAATTAATTCAACGGCGTTATTTCTTATATAACGAAACCGACTATTTTCGGGATAATCATTCCGGTTAAAGTATAAGCGATCACTTGAAAAAATTATTCGTTTGACCAATATATGAATGCGTCACTTGCATGCAGTAATTACAAAAATCAAATTTAAATTTGATTTTGCTGCTGTCACTTAATGCGTAGAATCGTTTTTTGAAGATCGAGTATCAACTCGGAATAAAACAATACAAAATTTATTTGAGTTATGTCCCAGGCCGATTGAAAAATACTCGTTACAAAAACACGCGTTCACAGTATTGAGGCGATGTCGCAAAACGATCAAATAAAAATATTTATCATTTAATATATTGACCCTGAATCTCCTATTCCAACGTAGTAAAGCTGACCAGCAAATCTGTCGAACACCTCCTCGATCGATCTCGTTTCTTAACGGTTCTATGCTGGAGCCTTTCAAGTTTTGTAAAGAGACCAGCCGCAGGATGTATCATGCAAAGAAACGCTCGCCTCTAAGTAAAATTTGTACGATTTTAGCCTAATTTTCATGTCCTTTTTCATGTCCTCCAAATTTATTGCTTATCAAAGTCCCCCAGCATTGAAGTTAAGAGTAACAATTCCAATACTTTTTCCTACTCCATTTCACATGATTAATTTTCAGTGGCCAACTATAATATTGTGGGTGAAAGAACTTTACTAGGATATAGCCAGACTCTAAAATTTAAACTTGTTACAGTTCTGCGTGTATCCTGAAAAGCAACGGTTCAGCAACTCGGGGAGACTCGAGCCCTTGTGGATTGTTTGATTACTTGCAGCTCCCCTGAACGCTGCAAGCATTTGAAGGAAGCATTGCAAGGAACCTCTTCTTCAATTTTTGCCCAGACTCTTGGCGTTTTTCGAATTGTGGATTTCCTTTAGTTCGTATTTCATGAAATATTATTGAAATAATTCGCCAATCTCTAATTACCGTCTCAACATTACCGAATGTTGAGACGTTGTACTAATTGTGTTTTGGATTAAACTTTCATACGAATGTTTATCGGGGCATCTTTTTTGAGTATTAAACTATAAAAAAATTTTAAATCAAACGAGAAAACAAGAACCTCTACCCAATGAGCTGAAGTTGTGAGTAAGAATGAGTCCGGAGAAGCTCGAAATTTCAATGAAACTTCTCTGTATATGTTTGACTTTTCGTATATAATTCTTGAGAAAATACAAAATTATTTATGCTAATGAAAAATCAAGATGATTGTAATGTTTACTGTGGGGTCAAAACAAATGATTGGCGCTCAAGTGCCAGCACCCACTGATGGCGGTAATTTTCAATATTTACTTTTTCATTGACAAGCAAAACGAAAATGACCGAAGTTAATGATGGTTTCTTAGCAGAGCAAATTAAATTCTTTCGAAATGAAACGACAAGTATTTTCATTCGCATTACGCGCTCGAGCCCAAGGTATGTAACCATTGGGCATGCACCTTGCGACGACAGAGACATAGGAGATGCGTCTAACCATGCAGTTTATTGATACGAGAGAGCACAATTAAGGGCAAGATAGCCGTGATAATTTCAAGCAATGGGCGCTCAGCTACAGGCGGAATTGTTAGCGAGGTATCTTATTGCTGTATTACCTCTTCATATTTATGTCGTTTTAAGTTCTTTTTTCTTCCACTACACTCTTCATTGTCTTTGGAACCTGACCTTGGTTTTTGAACCCTGATCAGCATGCCATAAGTTCGAGGATCTTCGGATTGGTTTCCATGTAAGTCGCAATATATTCATTTATACTGGAAAATTGAATATAACTTTACTAGCACCTAGAGTATGATTATTTCATCATTTTAATTACGTAATACATAAATAGGCAGTGTGTATCTACGCTGATGCGAAAACGAAAGCGCAATCTTCATGTGGACAACTTTATAATTTGATTTTAGCAGAGATCACCATTACATGCAGGCATCCTGTACGAAGTTTGGAAGCAGACAAAAAAGACGGGTTTGCAATTGACTATATATCAATTATGTCAATCTACAGGGCACCGTACATGTCAAGGTAAGCTTGGCCGATGTTTGGCCGTCGATAAACCGCCCGCGATAATTAGTCACGAGTTCAGAAAAATCTTCCATGGGATTAATAAAATAACTATAAATATCACATATCACCTTCCACGCGGTAAACTATTAATTTTTTACGTACTCTCGATAAGCGCTAATAATGAGATATTAACGAGCAATTAATTTGTCCTCTTGGACTCGTTATAAATTACTTCACTAAATTGTGGAGGAATAACGACGCTCGATGACTTAGCTAGAATAACGAATATTTTCTGTGAATAATCTTCGAAGCAAACTAATGACTCCAACGAAAATATACTACCGCTACCGCAGCTTCAAGGATCCAGGCATTAATATATAACAGACCAGAATTTTATTTCGTGCTTTACGGCACTTAGCTAGCATATAACTTAATGAAAATAACATAACTGTAATTAGCCAATCATTACTATTGTGATAAATGCAGTCTATCTCATTTTTATGTACAATCATCAAGCGCAATAAATTGCATTAATAAATCCCAATGAATACGTGGCGTTAGCTTGGGATAACGTATGGAAGTACGAGTATCGTCAGGTCTACATCTAATCGCCTTTTCGGAAGGAAAAGCATACAATACGAATCAGTGAGCAGCAAATTGAAACTTTCCTATAATGCAAGTCCACGAAAAACAATTAAGAAAATTGACAACTTTCTCATCTTCATTGATGCCTTATCTATCGTGCCTATCGACACGTTTGAAATTTCTTACTAAAAGTTTGCTCAATGCGAAATGTTTGCTATCCTATCCATTTTAAAAACCGCAGAGGAATTTCTGCAATCCTCTACGAAAAAAAAAGTTCGCCATCCCAAACGACACACGTTTCCAACCCAGAATGAAATTTTACGATACTGAAGGACGCGCATGCAAATCCTTTGGTTTCTCTATAGATTTTTAGTAACAATAAAAGACATATGAACAAGGGTGACGGCAGAGATTGAAAAAAAACATTTATTTAGATTTAAATATATATTTTACAGCATTGACCTAAGAGACTTGCATAATTATCCAGCTTATCATTATTCGTGCTCTCCTAATTCTTCTTTTTGGGGCAAATTGTGTCGAAATCACCATACAAAAATCGAAGAGCAATGGCCATTCAACAAAATCAACAGGTAAAAATGGCGAGGCAAAAATTATTCAGCAATGATCATTAAGCAATCATTAGCAGACAATATTCACTGAACAATAATCACCATGCAATAATTACCAAACAATAATCACGTAGCAAAGGTCATGAAACAATTATTGCACAGCTCTAATTGCTGATCAATAATCACAAAGCAAGACTCAAAAGCTATTTATTCACAATCTTACGTCACTAAAGACTGATAAAATAATGAAGGCAGAATTCTAAATATAATAACAGATAGCGAATGATATACAGAACTGAACAATAGAATACATGCACCGGACGGATTCAAGCGTATTTTCTGAACAATCGTTGTTCTACCCTCGTCTCCCCTCGAACAACTTAACGCTTCTCTGACCCCTTGCTTGCTACGCTTAATTAATGTTATTCCCATTAAAAATTTTGTAGAAAAACTTATTATGTACAATTTTATTCCAAAAGTTTCCATATCATTGAGTCGAATAAATTCAAAGCGATGTAAATAAGTTCAAAAAACAATCCTCATTCCATCCATTTCAATTATTTTCGTGCGGATTTTTGACAAATGGACAAGTTCCACGAGAATTAATGGACAACAAGCTATTCTTTTTAACGAATCGACGAGTTTATAATCACGATTTTATCCACGCAAGAGTAACTACCAATGCAAAAACCGTTGCTATATAAGTTCGGCGCAGGTGCGACCATAATTTTCAATAAGGTAGTGTCGCAGACTCATGATGCGTAACGAATGTCAACTTACGCACTTGAGGTCCTCATCATCGCCAGTGAATAGCCTCAGGGATCTGAGTAATGGATGAAGTTCTCTGGGAGCTTCAGGCAATACACTAGTTAGTGTACTGAAGGGAAATTGTCTATAATTAAGGATTGAAAACTACTGATTTAAAAAAAATATGATTTTCATCATACATCCCCAGTGCGCGGGCTTACAGGGGGCTATTGCAAACGTTGTTATATTTGCCACAATTACCGCTGCTTCACTTGCCACAATTAACGCTGCTACACCTCCCACGATTAACGCTGAATTCATTTAGTAAAAACATTGCTACGTAAATTCCTCGAAATAATAATAAGCAAGTCAGTTTTACAGCTAAGTCGTTAAGGACCTATTCATTACTTTACATTTAATATTACAACAGCTTTGAATAATAAAGCAGCACTCCGATTTGACGATATAAATACTTCACCTGTTCTAGTCAGTGGTGCAGGCTTCTCACAGCAGCCTTTCCATTGCACGAAATTATCATTTCGCTTGGCGGCTAAAATTTGCTTTCTTTCTTAATATCATTTTATGGTCAATAATTTTAATATCATTTGCTGATCGACTGGGTTTTCAACCGTTGATCCTTCAATTAGAGGGGAAATTCACAGCAGTTTCAATGATTATCATGAAAACAAAGTAATAATTAACCTTTAGACGCGTCATAACGAGATACGGGCACGCGAGATACGGATGTCTATCGCAGCAGTTGGACGCATTTTAGTTGGCTAGAAAATGGTACAATAAGCGCACTTATCTTGAGCAGAGACGTAAATGTCTAAAACCTACTTGATTAGATTACGATTATAAACTACTGTACGGACGGACGCTTGAGAGACTCTGGGCCGGTATATCATTAGGTAAGATGTTGTCAGCGAACTGAAATAATTGCTGAGAACCCATTTACAAGTGGATTATTTTGAGCCAAGCGCAGCGCTGGCACATAATTAAATGGCATTGCCATACGTTGGTACTTGGTTAGCTCATAGCTGACCTATAATGCAAAACACTTTTAACGTTACCGACTCATTTTTAAACGCTGTTCGATATTAGTCACGATAATCACTCAACCGAAGAAGGGTCCTGATGGTACCACTTGTTAAAAATTGTATTGCACTTCAAATATAATTATGTTACAATATCCCAGAGAAGTATTCCTTGTTACAATAGCCCAGAGAAGTATTCCTTAATGAGACTCGCACGGAAATTTGATATAGAATCGAATAAATGATCGCGTTTTAGCCTACTTGGCTTTGTTGTAATCTACGTAGACCCTTACGACCTCCCCCGAGTATTTGCGCTGCGATGGAAGGTAATAGAAGTCGGGGGTATTCTCAGCCATGGGGTTACGGTCATACCCAGCACCAGGGGCAGCGTGGGCACCCCGGGGCAGGGAGTACGTGGTCCTAGGGTCTTGCGTCCCGCTGGTAGACCACCCGCGGTCCCGTGGGACTGGGCCCTGACGAGGCCGCTGTAGGGACCGTGTGTCTGAGAGGGCCGTGTTGCTGGCAGGTGCAGTGTAGTGCTGCAGGGGCATGTTACCACCATGACTGGACTTGTGCGAGCGGTTGTTGCTGGAGTATGTGTCGTGGTAACCGTTTGTGTTGTTGTGGTGGTTGTGGTTCTCGCGGGTTTCACGCATAGGGCTTCCCCCACGCCCCGGATAGGGATGAGGCCCCCCGTTTGAGCGGCCGTTGTATCCCCGGCCCCCTGAGGTGCCGTTGCCAGAAATTCTGCGGCCGTTGAGGCCGTTTTCTTCAGTTTCGAAATTCTCATAAGCGTAGTTGAGGTTGCCGCGACTGTAGTCCTTGAAGCCAGAGTTGGTGATCAAGGGACCCTGCGCAATAAAGAAAATGCGATGTATAACATGATATTGGCTCGAGGTATAATTCATACATGGATGACACGCGAAAATTTTACTTGTACGTAGTTTTCTTTCCAGTTTTAAAACTTTATATACGAAAGACGCGTGAAAATTTTACTTTAATTTAATTTTCTTTACAGTTTTAAAACACTAAAGCTCGGGAATGAGGCGGAATAATTCTAAGACGAAGGGAAAATTGATAACTGCTTTCAAGATGAATATAAAAAGTCACATGTAATTAAATGAAAAATACGGTGCAGAAAAGAGACAAGGAATACCTCACACATAATAAAGTATTGTTCTACGAAGTTATAAATGACAAGGAAATAAAGAATTAAATAAATAAGGGAACAAAAAGTGAGTCCAAAGCAAATGAAGACGAGGATACTAATAAAAAAATTATACACTGCAAAAAATTAATTAGAAAACAAAAGTCTCAAAAGACACAAAAATCAGACAGACCACACAAAATTCGGGCCACTTGAATTAAAATTCCAAGCCACTACTGCCGAATTAATCCCGATTAAGGTGGAGTAGAATTAATATATTTGTCAGGTAACAATAATTGACACGTCTGCTCAGTTCAAAATCAGAGCAGAACCATCAGCGGCCATACGGAGACATAAGCGTGCCAAAAAATTTACCAGATTTCGTCAGTAAAAGGCTTAATGCACTGCAGATGCGATAATAAAAATACTCAAGGTAATACCTACTTCAAATACATTAATAATCAAGACATACACATGCACACAATTAAATTTCTTACATGTAGAACTTTGTCTATAATATTCTCAAGTATAGTAAGTCTCATAGCGCATATAGCGTAAATATAGTAAGTCTATGTGTATAGAATCGGTTATTCTATGAATCGTTAATCAACTAACTCATGTAATGGATGATCAGCAACGGAAAATTTATAATAATTCATGACAATGCCTTTCCAGTGATATTTAAGACACAGATAGAATCAGCGTTCGTTTTCTCCAGTGCTACAGGAAATAGCGGCATTGCTCCAGCGATATGCTTGCTAAGGTTCGAATTTGTTACAAAAAACTTCATGCATGTTAAGCAGCGAAAGCTGCTTAACATGCGAAATTCACATCATGATTCAGTTCATAACATGATTCAGGAGCGAAATTCACATCATGTAGATTAGAGATAAAACAATTCGCATTCTATTCAAATATCGGAAAACTTTGTAAATGAACGAACGAGAATTACCCACAATTACTCACCTTCTAAAGCATCCCAAGACAGCATGAATGAAGTAAAGTTCAATAATTTAATATCTTATTTACGATCGCTCGTCAATAATAGATACAATAATTGCGACAACAACAAAAACTACTTAACTTAACCACGAGCTTTAATTTGCAACTCTAAAGTGCAATTTTAATTTGCAACTAATGCAATTCCAGCTTGGTCCCACCGTCCCAATATTAGTGACTTGGTCTCAAATCATAGAATTACGAAGCGTTATTTTCTGTCTTACAAATAATGTGTACATACATATTAGCAATAGATGGTCTATGCAATTAATTGCAAGCTATGATTTGAGGATAATAGTAATACTTATACATATTTTGTACAACTTAGTGATTGTTCTTTTATAAATAACACGCGATTATAACTTCCCTAAACACCCCGCACTAGTTACCAGAAGCTAAGGATTATGTTACACCGCTATAAGTGAGCACTATAACTTAACTGCCTTCACTAGACGTAGGTTCGAAGTAGACGCTTAAAGGTAGATATGGTATTTATGTGGTAAAATAGTGCATGGAAGCAGCTATGTCAGTACGCTTATGTCATGTGCAGGCAAGACTTTCTTTGAAGATAATCAAATTATTTTCTCAATCAGAAACAACTGATCAATAAGTTCATCATTGAATACTCTCATTCACACGATTAATGCCCCGGCAATGTTATTCATGTCCCAGTAGTGTAAAACGTCTGTTAGTATGATACGTTAGTTTCGGAGAGTTATTTAAAATGCACATTAAAGTAGAACTTATACATTTTTAGACATTATTGAAAAGGTGTCGTGACCCAAAAATTTATAAATCGAAAACAAGACTTTGGATTAAACGAACTTTCAAATGAAATGTAACGATTAGCAATATTCATCAACACAAAATCAAAAGAGTTTACAAGTAATAAACACATAACATTCACTACGAAAAGAATAAATGTTATTCATTTTTGTATAAGTAAAGCATGTCCTTCTCTGAGGAAATGTTCTGTGGGGCCATCAACTTGGGTCATGTTGTCCGGGCCCGACGAGGACCCGTGCGAGGAGATGGACAGCTTCCCGAAGGACGGGGATGACCCGTACTGAGTGGCGTAAGTCACGGGGAACTGGGGTCCTGACCCGTGGCTGGGGGAAATCTGCTGGGGGTGTGGGGTGTCCACGACGCGGTGGTGGGTCACCGGAGACCGAATTGGGAGGAGCGAGAGCGTGAGGGTAAAGAGGGAAGAAAATGAGGGGAGAAATGTTAGTGGAATACAATAGCGTTTGGAAAATACAAAGAGAAAGTGATCAGGTCAGGGTAATAAAATTCGTGAGTGAAGGGACAAAGGAATAGGAAGATGATAAGGCCAAAGAAACCATAAAAAGTTTATATACCAAGGTATTGATCAAAAGATAGAACCAAAGCGCACATTGAAAAGAATTAGTGGTCACTGACAATCCTACATTATAAATAGTTGTTAATAAAAGCACATTATATAGCGTTCATTATAATAAACTATTTTCTAAATGTGAAATTAACAACACGGCAAGAATACAGGCTGAAAGCAGGAGCTTATGACTCGCTCTCTTGAATGCTCGTGACTGATGCATTGTTATAAAAAAATATGGCGACGATGTAACTTGGGCGAGAAATTATCGTGTTGTGTTAATATGGCAACAGTGTAACTGTAACGAGAAAAAAATCATTAGTTTGCAGTCAAAATCAGTTTAAAGTGGCGAGTTTGAAAAGACGGTATCAAAGCCTGATGGTTTTTACCATACAAACTAACATTTAAAAATAATTTTCCAGCTAATGAACAAACTGCCTTAAGCCGCGTCGGCTGAGCTTAGGCGTGCATCACAAGAACTTTCATCTCCGTAGGAATAACATTAGAGCATGCAGCACATGAGCAGTGAAAAGATAGAAGCGGACGCTCCACCATCATCGCGGTGACATATACTGCACATATACTGGACCTCTGCACGCTAACTCTATGCACTCTAACTCTATACATGCTATCTATATATACGCTATACGCTAACTCTATACACGCTAACTCTATATACGCTATACGCTAACTCTATACACGCTCAATCTATACAAGCCATCTCTATACACGCTATCCCTATATATAATGTGTATGTACTCATTAAAGGTTCATATATACATGCAGTTGTCGCTCGATAGTAGCGTCAGTTTATCCTAATTCTTTGGCACTTAATTCAATTTTTCCAAGTAAATAACTCACTTTAGTTTGATTATTAGCTGGCATTAAAACTATTTTTCCATTAATAAAACTTTAGAGGAGACGATCATCCCCAGTGTGGTCTTTTCACGCGTTTGATTATGCCCCACACCACACGCTACTTCACACACAGTGTCCAACCACCACAAAATGTGTTCAACCATCACGCACTGTGTTCAACCATCACGCACTGTGTTCAACCATCACGCACTGTGTTCAACCATCACGCACTGTGTTCAACCATCACGCACAGTGTTCAACCGCCACGCACTGTGTTCAACCACACCATCTTCATTTGAGTTATCATTTCTTTTCCTCGATCAATTACAGCGCGTCTACTATAATTGCATCTCGTTCATAATCAACTTGTACGCATTTACTTATAATTTATTACAGTCTACAATAAACAAGTCAGCTTCTACGATTACCGCTTGCCATCAGCGATTAATTTAATTGTTAGCAACAACGATTAGTCATTTAATTCCAGCCATTTAGTAATAACTTATCCGGATCTATCATTATTTTATTACCGTCTACATTTTCATTCATCGTCTGGAATGTTAGATGTGCACTAAAGGTACGAATAATAAATGCCAAGACTTCACATTCATCATTTGGCTCAGATATTCAATGCTTGGTCCAAGCCATAATCCTTCATAGGCAATTCTACTGCGTACTTCATACGTCATCAGACTACTTTATTCGCCATCATACGATATTATATTGCCGTGGACCACTAACAGATTCAACGTGAATCGAATAAATCTTTCAGAAAAGAGACAAGACTGATATCCAGATCTTTCTGCTGAACAAAAATAAATAATAATAAGACTGCATCTCGGCTGGACGGTACGTTTGTCACGATCTTCCTTGTGCTACATTAGCATTGTTGTGGCACACGACAGTGCGAAATTACACACGACCACACAAGTGTTCGTGTACCATCAGCGTGTATTGCTTGTGTGAATGTTATACACGCAACTTTTCTCCGCCACACAGGGGCTGAGGATGGGTTAGAGGACCGTTGGCTATCGGGAAGTCGAAAGAAAGCTGAAAGTAATTTTTTGGGCGAGCAGCACACGTGAAGTGTTTCGTCTAACATTTTGGAGTGGCAGTATAGGTTTTATTTTTCATGTCGTATCGCCTCTGAAAATGAATATTGTGTTCAAAATGGCGTCCTGGGTGCACACACTGCACCAAACATGCACACATCGCGCCCTGTGTGCACGCATTGTGAGTGCACATTGCACTCTGTGTGGACACATTGCACCGTATATGTGCACACATTGCACCCTATAAGTTTATAAATTCTGCCATGTGTGCAAAAAATCGCGCCTAAAGCGTACACATCACGCCTTATGCGCACGAATTGCGCCGCTGTGTGCACACATTGTAATCTGTGTGGAGACATCAAACCCTGTCAGTACACACACACCACGGCAACTCAATCAACACAGACAAAGCGCGCGTCTCAAGACGGCGCTGGGGCAGGATTCTTTCTGTATTTCAGACGCCACAAATCTCATTGCAGTGCCACCGAGAAATTATTCAGCGGCTCTCCATGGAATACAATAAATGCTAATTTATTTCCTCTGACAGAATATAGCAATATGAAGCGTTATATTATTTGTATACAGCCCATCAAATATTGAGTCTCCCACAAACTTATTTGAAAATTAAAAAAAAAACACAATAGAAAATAGCAAGCACGGGGTGTAAAAACAATGTCCGGCAAGGCTAAAAACATTTTCAAATAGAATATCGTTTCTGTCATTTGCAGTTAAGAATTAACGTCATGTCAGCGGCGACGGAAGGATGGGAGGGGCGATTAAAGGCGTGGCTAAGGCGATCGGCCGCTTTTCCCGGAATTCACCCGATCGACGATCATGAACCGCTTTAGTCGTCGCGCGGCAGTGACAACGGCCATAAAAGTTGAACAACAATTGGGCGGCAGCAAAGTGTAGCCAGATAGTCTTATGTCCAACCACATTCGGGCAATTTAGGCCCTTGTAATAAATTGACAAACAAATTTATAATACTTCTGTAGTTAATTCAAGCTTGTTTCTATCTGGATGCAAAACGTTTTAACGAAACAGGGTTCAAATTAAAGGCAAAGGCTGATATTTCATGATGGAAGTTGTAAAAAAATTCACGCATATTTTCCGAGGAGTTATAGCGGTATTAAGTACTAATAAATAAAAATTAACAAGCAAATGGAAGGGAGCAAAAAAATGGGCCCGAAATCTTCCCACTTCTAACGGGCAACGAGAACGAAATTTATAGTTCCCAGTTAACGACACGCAAGGGGAGGTTAAGGTGATGATGTGATCGCTCGCCATATATCAGGACTGCTGGGTAGTTGTGTTGAGGTGTCTGTTGAACAGCTAATTAGTCGAAGAGGGAGGGTTGGTGGGAAGTTAGTTCATGGACAAGCAAACAACTTTGGAACTCGATTGATTGAAACATTTCTAAAGCTCGAGAGGAATTTAAAAAAAGCAACACATTGGCAGCCATCATTCGAGTAAATTTTACCCACAGTTGAACAACTCAAATACTTGAAAAATTAACTAACTAGGGGACGCTGGCACACAATCTACGAGCCAGTGGCACACTCTACGTCGCTACCTGCCACTGAAGTAGACGTGATATGTAAATTTTGTATTTCATGAAGTTATGAGTTACCTCAATGATCGTTCTCTAATTGCATCAATTTCAGTGGATCTGCATGGTGCAGGATAACTGGTACGTTGATCAGTGAAAAGTTGCATGATATTAAGGAGCTTTAACAGGGAACTGCAGGACACTTGGTCTTGCGACGCTTTAATCCACTACGAACACCATGAAGACAACAAATCGAGTACGACTTACAGAACACTACATGCTATCTATTTGGCCGTTAGACGCTTGATTTGTTAATGCACATGCGCTAGGAGACTGAGATCTGACATGCACACGGATGAGTGTGCATGCCATGAGTGGATGAGTGAAATCTGACATACGCAGATGAGTGAAATTTGACATGCACACGGATGAGTGAAATCTTGTAGGTACATCGATGAGTGCAATGTGACGCGCACATGGATTTCTACCAAAATGCTTTATGCGGACAACCGAAATCTTGCTCACGACCCATGAATGAAATTTGGCATACACGTGGCTCTAATCTAATGCAACTCACTGGCAATGAATAAAATATCTAATACATGAATGGCGCATATGGCTGAAATCAGGCACACGTGCAATGAATGAAGTTTGACACAAGCGTGATGCATGAAATTGACGCGAGCGCGATGAATGAAGTCTGGCAAACAGGTATTCGTCTGGAACCTGTCACATTCGCGAATTGATAGAGTTCAAATAATTAAGCTTAGGAATGAAGTCTGGCAAGAGTGCATGAGACTGAAATGTGACAGTGGTGTAGATGTTTTAAATTTCCACCCACTCCACTAACAGTAGGGTTCACGAAAATACTTTGACCAACGAAGCAAATGACGAATGAAGTGAACATGCGGGAAATGACAAGCAGAGGCGCGCGTGACAAGTGACAAATGACAAGCAGAAGCTTATGTTGCAAATGACAAGCAGAGGCTCATGTGACAAATGACAATCAGAGGCGCGTGTGACAAATGACAAGCAGAGGCTCATGTGACAAATTACCAGCAGAGGCTCATGTGACAAATGACAAGCAGAGGCGCATCTGTCATATGACAATCAGAGGCGCATGTGTCATATGACAAGCATGTACTAGCACCTATATATCATCTAGCAGGAACAGGTAGCGACGTTGAGTGTGCAGTAGCAAAGCGCCACAAATAACGAGACAAGACAATCACCTGGAACTGTACGGGCCTAAAATGCTGCTAATGATGACATTGCGTCAGCCTGCCTACTTGACGGTTCAACCTGCACAGAAATTACGGCTCTAGAAACTTGTCCAACAAATTCTAGAGACTAGAAACAAATAGAATTCAATTAACATTTGTAGCGGGTATTTATAAGAACGCAGGTTTGGCTATCTATATGATTGAATTATAACTAAACTAATAAATATCTTTTACATACATTAGCTGATTAACACTTAGTTAAAGTACGCTTACCATGATGATTTTTTCAATACCGCAGGAATACCATAAAATTATATGTATTAAAATATATTAATATGTATGGATATATTAAATATATTCGTATATATTATTATTATGAATACATTAAAATATTTTCACAGAGCGGTCGACAACAACGTCGGGCAGGAGAAATGTCTTCCAGAAAGTCAAGATAACGAGGTTGAAAGGCGAACGTAAGTATAGTGGAGACAAGATCTTGTAAGCAGAAAATAAATAGGAGAGCTACAGTCAAGTATGAAAACTATCTAATGATCATTAACTTGGAAGTTAGAATGATTGATCCATTATTTTACTATTTAAATATGTAAAATTAGTTTTTCCATGAAAATAAATGTATTAAACAATGCATTTGACTGTCTTTTTCAAAATCAAACTAGCGGCGATTTGAGAGCAACATATCATTCTTCGGTTGAGCATTTTTACTGCAATCCGTAGTATCCTTGGTACGTGTTTCGGACATAGCAGGAACAGACAATTGCTGAATGGTCATGTCAGTGTAGTGTGAAGTGATCATCACACTCTGGACCTGTGTTGTGTGCTGCATGAACAACTTTGTTGTACAAACACACACAATACAATATTACACACAATACAATATTACACATATTATAATCATAAAACCTGTAAGAAAAATGAATGCGTCACATTGTCAAAATATTGACGCACTTTCTTACCAACATACAGCACGTGAAATGAAAGAATGTTGCACTAATCCGCCCTATTGTCAGGCCAAACTAGGTTAGGATCACGGGGACACCGGCAAAAAATGCATAATTATTTGCACAAATTGTATATATTATGTATTTTTTATTTCATTTCTCTAAGTATATGATTCAATGATGAGAAGAATTAACTTTGGATTCGTAGATACATCAAGGATGAGGTCACGGCAGCCACAGCTTATTTGCGTTCACGTAAAATGTATGAAGCAAACATCCCGGTAGCCGCATGTATAAACACACATATTTATACGTGCGTGTATGAACACACATATTTACAAACGCACGCCTTACACATATATATTGTTTATATACAAGTTCGCTGCGGTTGTTATGTTACTCGTCTGAAGAGTTAAAACGTTCATACCGTCTGCCGCGAATTCTTATATCAATTCTTGATGTGATATCGACGGTACATAAACATTTGTTTGCGTGTAATATGGAATAGAATAAAACATCAGGCGAAGCGAGTTCCGAGGTTGCTCCGCGTATCGATTTAAATTAAGGTAAAAGACCGCATGTCGACCACAGTAGCATTTAATTTATTCTAAAACCCATACCAAGATCCATAGTATGGTAAAGCATTCAGTGAAGCACTTGTAATGCAGTCCTATAGTAAACACTCAGTGAAAATTTACAGACGCGGCAGCTTCTGATTTGGATTACCGGAAGCTGGGGCGACTCTAAATTTTGTTAGGGCAACACTCACCTTGCTCTTAGGGGCCGGGTTGCCACCCCGCCTCTTCTTTATCCTGGTGATGGTGACGATGGCTTGGATGATGGCGAGGATGATGAGGATACACACCACCCCGACGATGATCCACGTCTTGTTATTCTCCAAGAACTGGGCCGCCGTCATCCCGCCGCCGCCGCCGCCGCCGCTGATGCCGGCGACGCTGACGCTGGGTTCCGCCTCTGACCGACCGGAGTCCGTCTGACGCGACGGGCTTGACACTGCGGCCCATGACAGGGATTAGGGTTAGGGGTGACCGGGGTGTGGTTAGGGTCAGGGGTGACCGGGGAGTATCTAGGGTTAGGGGGAAGCAGGGAGTGGTCAGAGGACCAGATTCAAGGGGATATGAAACGTGAAAATAACGCTTCGCGATGGCATTGGTGTGATGGGGATTATTTGGGATAATGGTTAGGAGTGACCGGGGTGTGATAAGGGACAAGTCAGGGATGACTAGTGTGATGGGGTTAGGGGACAAGGGCCAGGGCTGATCACTGGGGTCAATTGGGGCTTGAGAATAAATATCAGGGTAATGCTAAGGCCAATCACATGGTTTGACGCAGTCAGGTAAAGTTTTATGCAGCATTTATACATAAGCATCAATAATATTAAGCGACAGAGAGCGTAAGGATTGTGCTGAAGCTTAGCTAGGGCTGCAGTCACTATAGGTCAGGGAGAGTAAGTAAGGGTTCGATACATAGTTCACGCGCAAGGTTCAACATAAGGTTCAGGCGTAGGGTTCAACATAGGGTTCAGGCGTATGGTTCAACATAGGGTTCACGCAGAACCCCTTGGCGATGAGAACTTAGTTCCTGTAGCTCCTATATAGGGGCGGCATCAGCAAACACTGCTATGGCAATGTCGGTTCAGGAAAAAAAGTGACACAAAAAACATGGGCAATGAATGCAGTCCGGAGCATTTGATTTTCAATAACATAATTTGAACTTGATAAATATTTGCTTCTTTCTTTCAGAGCAGAAGTCACTTCATTTCGGAGCACAACAACCATGCAATAGAACAAGAACCTACGTTCTCAATAATATCAACGAGTTGATACACACTTTCCACAACGTATAAAAAATTTAGTTTAGATATGAACATGGTAATAAAACTATTCGAGAAGATCTAAGATTCATAAAGCTGACAGACAATCGATCAATGAATTTAGAGGCTAGTCAAGCTTAATTTTCATGATATTTTATTTTCATGGCACGTAAGAGTAGAGGACGCTAGCAGTTTGATATGTTTATATTAAGGCTCAAAAACCTCTACAAATCATCGGTTCGGAGATATAATTTCATTGAGAAGAAGTCACTTCAGAAGAAAAATGTCTTTCAGTATTTTTGTCAGGCAGCGTCCGTTTACCACGACGTCAAACCAAAGCAAACTGAGCCTGCCGCAGTGCTTGGAATTTGCGATTATGTACAAGGCGGAACAAAGCAAGGATCGAGCGCCCAACAGGCATCAGATGCTCGAATAACGTTGGATTAAAGTTTAAAACGGATTCAATTCGTAATCAACGTTGTTTCAACGTCAATTGCCTTGAGGGTGAAAAATGCGAGCGTTGATGCAGTCTAAAAGTAAAACCTGCTTACAGGGACCTTATGAGAGTGGTGACACACGTTCAAACGCTAGGTGGTTCAGAGGGGGTTATAGTGGTCGACCATCGCCGACACTAGTTTCTAACTATAGGAAGAGGGAGGGGGAGATTAGTAACGTCCGAGTCGCAAGTTAATCCACTAAATCATTAACGTGAAACCTCGACTTGCACTCATATGGTCTCGGACGATCATTACTGCTTTCAACATTATCTAATATTTTACGATCTCGGAAGATATCATTGGGCAAGCTGACTGATGGCTCCAGCAAGCAAATGGGCTTTGGGATTGCCGAGTGATCGCCATCAGAGGCCAGCGTAGATTGTAACTTAAAAAATAAGCGGTGCTGCATGCCGGGAATGCGTAGTGACATCATCCTTATGGTGCAGCGTTGATTATACTATGTGTACAGTTGAAGCCAGCATGAACTAGCCAGTCAATCCGTGGCAAAAACAAATGCGTAATAATATTCACACAAACTCAAGTCATAACATTAAAATAAAATAAATAGTTAATTTAGAAATAAAAAAACGACATTCGCTCGCTCACATGTTGTTTGTAGATTAGGTATAAATCTAATATAAATTACAGAATATGATAAATTTCAAAGATGGTGGGAGAAATGAAGAAAAAAAGAGGTAGCAGAAGAACCACAGTCGGCCACAAAATACCCGAGTTCTGGTGAGGTATACACGAGTTAACGTACCTTCTTGATAATGGGTACGCAGGAATGCAAATGTCTGGGACTTTAACGACCGTTTCAACGTCCAGAGAATCTTCAACACATGAAAAAATTAGAAATTTTCTACATTTCCAAATTTTTTTATTCCAAGTGAAACGATTGAATAAAAGGCATTGAGATTTGATTGCTGAAATGCAATGAATGTTGGTTGGAGGAGCAGAACATGGCAGGGCGAGCAGCTTGAATGTTTACCAGCATGACTGAACTGAGGGAAAATTACTGCTGTAATTTGTATCAAGATAACGGATATTCAAACAATGATGCACCAAAACGAACATCAAGTTAGTTAGCATTTTAAGAGCTTAGTAAAAACGTAGACCAATTCCAAACAAAAGGTAAGCGAAAGAAGATTTATTGAACATGAAATATAAAAAAGTTGATAATAAAGAGCATAAAATAAGACCATTGATGAACATAATTTCTTCAGTTTAAAAGAGAATAGTCGAATTAAGCGACATCTACAAAATGTTAAGGAAAAGACTAAGAAAAACAGTCCCATTACTTCACATTCCTCGGCACTTTTAAGAGGGTTAGTGTGAGATGCACTAATTCACGAACATCATACACAAACACACAGGAAACTGAGTTAGATGATGACCAAAAATTGTGGTGTGCAACATACAAATGAATGTGGTATCCGAGCCACCCTGACATTAGGTGTGCTGGGTGCACTGTCATTAGATACCAACGCAAATTTAATTGAAAAACGTAGTTGATTATTCCCAAGAATATTTTGTAAGGATTCTTATAATTTAAAAAGAAACGGGAGTAAGGATAAAAGGCAGTAAATAAAGAAATTGAAACACAGTTCAATTTCTTATTTAGTACAAACATTTGTGACGTCTCAACTTAATTCGTTTCTAACTTGTCTTCATATCGCAGTCAAATTCAATAAAAAAGAAAAGTATTCAATTTAAACGCTCAAAAAATAGGAATCCTTTCAATATCTCAATATTCTGAAATAATGTCGGCAATGAGTAATAATGCCGCTATTCAAAAAATTAATTGGTGATAGCATAACGTATATTTATTATAACGCTTTTATGAGTAACGCCCGCTTTCACACTAGCATCCAATATATTTGCGTGCAATTCCAGCCGATCTTATTGGGCAAGCTGAACATGATCAATTTTGCTACGAAACGTTGCCAAAATCCGAATTCAAGCCCGAAGTGATTGCGATGATTGCTAGTGATGTTGGATTAGGAAGAGGAGTACCATGACTACCATCAGTCTAAATGGTACTTAACAATACCAATGGACTTGAATCTAAAACTTTCTATAACTGTAGGTTATAGGAAGTTGAAAGATAACATATATATTTAGATAGAAAGTCTTCCATCTTCAGTTCCTGCCTGGCTGGGTGCCCCAGAAGACGGGCTTGTTGTACCTCGTGTCTTCAAGTGTACCTGTGGTACCCTTAGTCCGTTGGTACGTGGGGAGAAGATTGGAGGCGTTCGTGGTACCAGCATTCGAGGAATCGTCTGAATTGCCAGGAAACTGGAAAGGGGATTGCTGAAGACGAGGTCCTGGCTCAGCTTGGGGCGCCGGTTCGTACTGGAAGCTGGTCCGGCTGGGAGAGTTTCCCAGTGAAGGTCCGACCGGTTGAACTTTGCTGGGGAAAGGATTGTTAACAATAAAGGGGTAGGCAGAACCAGCAGAACTTTTTAAATTTGTTCTCGGGCTGCTTGCTTGGTTGAAGTCCACTTTGAGGTTGTTGTAAAGACCTGAAGGAGAGGACGCTGCAAATGATGGCACAGTCGGAACGCCGGCCATGTCCGAGCGAATCACCGTCGACGATCCTGCTACAGTTGTGGTTACTGGTCGTGGAACTAGTTCGTCATTCTTGTCAGTACCAGAGACCGGATTCATTGGTCGGGAACCCGGTTCGTAATCCTTGTCAGTACCAGAGACCGGGTTCACCGGACGTTGAACTGATTTTTCATCCTTGTCAATACCAAAGACTGAGTTCACTGGTCGGGAACCCGGTTTTTCATCCTTGTCAGTACCAGAGACCGGGTTCACTGGTCGGGAACCCGGTTCGTAATCCTTTTCAGTACCAGAGACCGGGTTCGCTGGTCGGGAACCCGGTTCGTAATCCTTGTCAGTACCAGAGACCGGGTTCACCGGTCGGGAACCCGGTTCATCATCCTTGTCAGTGACCGGGCCCATAGCTGGGGAATTAGGGGGAAGAGGAACCTGGTGGGGGAGTAGATTGGTACCTAGGAGCTGGTTGACGCGCAGGTAGCTCGGGTCTACAGGCAGGTCGCCGAGGGTTCCGTTAGCCACGGCGCGGTGGATGATCTCGTAGACCTTCGACGCCTTCGCATTGCCGCTCGTTTCGTCTGCAACGTTTAAAAATTTATGATTATTAAGCTAATTGAATTAATGATAGATAAGTTATTGCTATGCTAAAAAATCTGTATTAATGTTTTTGGCCAACTTAATAAATAGCGGCAAAACTCTCGCCGAAACTTGACCTTAAAGCAGTTCATGGCGCGGACAAAAACGGCAGGCAATTTTAAGCGGTTCACTAAGACCCTGATGAAGTGACATCTTAAAAGTCTAGAAAATGAAAACCTATAGATACTTAGAAATAATATAGAGCAAATCATAACAGAAAATCCTATTTTTTCCACCTTTGAGTTCAGGGTGGACGTAAACTACGACCCACCTTCAACAAGAGGTTTGAGGTCGCCCCCCTTCATGTGCTCATTCTTGTCGAGCAGCAACTTGATCTCAGCCTTCACAGTCCCATTAGCCATTGGCGTCCTGAAATAGGCACCATTTCAGCCACCAAGTTTAATGGTTGAGCAGTTAATTGAGTCAATGGTACCGGAATTAACCAAGTTAATGGTTGGCGCAGCGAGGAATTGGTGCATACCATGATGACAAATTTTCAACAAATAATGCATATCAAAATAATGTGGCTTCGTAAAAAAATAATTTTACTAATAATAAGATGTAATACGCTAAACAGAGTTATTATTGCAAACTGAGTTATTTCTTTTGCTAATAAAAGAGTAAAGTTATTATTTCCGATAAAGAACCCTTAATCTATTGAACTGTAAAACCTAATTGTAATTAAAACATCAACTATAAAACCTAATCTTCTCACACAAAATATACACGAAGATGTGCAGAGGTATATTATTCTCTAACTATTATATATTGTTCTGAAGAAATATCTCTAACTCAAAAGAAATCAACAGTCATTTGCGCTGCCATTAAAATATTATTCATTATTATATATTATTATATATTATTCATTCAAGAGCGCAATATTTTATTATTTTATGTGCCGCTACATCCGTAAATATAAGGGACAGCCCCGAGCCTCCATAGATCGTGAGTGTGTCAAAATTAGTTATAGTTATAAATAATTGGATAATAAATAAATAACACTCGACCTACCCAAATCTTGAAGCCTTGCAACCATTTTACCGTGCAGCAAGACTACCGAGACACATATTGTGATTACTCAAAAAAATGATGTTAGGCATTCAAGATGTACCAGTATTTCACTTGAGTTCAAGATTTTATGATCGGTGGAGAAGTTTCTTATCGCTTAAATCTATATTTGTTGCATAAGAAATAAAAATAAAAAATTTATTCAACGGACATCACTAAAATAAATTTTCATATTTGTTGCAAAAGAAATAAAAATGGAAAAGTCTAGTCCACGCACATCACCAACATAAATTTTCAATATATCAATCAATTCTCACAATGATGCAATATCCATTTCCTGGAATCCTTGCAGCTTCTGGAAGCTGTCAATGATCTTGCCCTTTATATCTTTAGCCAGCGTCCTAAAGTTCTCAGTTTCCTGACCAGGAACCCTGAAGTTGTGGTACCCCGTCAGGAGTACGTCAACCTCGTACTGCAGCTGCGGTGGTCGTGGTGTGGTAGTATACACGATACCAGTACCAGCCAAGTCTCCTGACGTATAAAACAGATATTATAGACAATACACATTACAGACAATAAACATTATAGACATCAGATGTTACAGACATCACACGTTACAGACATTATACATTACAGACATCACAATTTATCAGCTGCGTTCAGCATTTAATTACCTAAGGACATTAACAAAAATTTGTCCTGAAAAATGCAACAACAACAAAAAAAAACGATGATAAATGATAAACGATGATAGTGCTCAAAAGAACCTGGGCTTCGCAGTAGGTCCGTTTGGCATTCGCTACTTGGCTCGGCTTAATCTCAAGGTAAGTCAAGCGATGGAAATCAGTGCTTCTGATTGGAAAATTTCGAAAACTGTATTACAAGGTGCAAATCAATCTTGTAGGCGGAGATATCCAAAATTTGTCTACAAAATTGTACAATGGATCAAAATCGTAAAGGTCTGAGATGGAAGAGAGCCTCAAAAGGAATTATCAGCTATGGTTCAAATCAGCGCGACCAAGTCGGAGGCCTACGGCCTTCGCGCGCACATTTGCTATGTTCACAATTACATAATTGACGCGCTTGATAACGTGGCTCATTTAATAGCGGGATACAAATACCCTTACAATAAGGTTTACTCTCTGCTGATACAAGGTGAGATATTATAAGATAATAATATTTACTCTCTCAAAAAAGTATGTTAGAGCATATTCATGCATTTGCATCAGTAATATTTACATTTGCTTCAGAATATTCATACATTTAAATAAAATATTTACATTTGCATGAGAATATTTACATTTACATCAGTAATCACATACCTGCGCCCTTCGGCTTGCAGGACCTAATACAGACGCGCTCGGTGGAGAAGAGCGGCGTCGCGTCGTGTTTCTTGAGGAGCTTGCTCTTGGCGACGAAAGGTCCTCCTCCTACAGGGTATACGAGGTACAGGCACGTGCTGTCGCTGAACGCTAGGTCCTGGGGCACGAGATACGTGTGAGTTAGGGTACGTTGTTAGCACACGTGCATTGATGATACTCATGAGTCATGTTTTGCTTTGCGCTTAGCAGTATTAATCGTAAAATAGGAGACGAAGATACGTGTAACCAAGACATAGATAAGTGAGCACGGAGACGAAGATACGTGTAACCAAGACATAGATAAGTGAGCACGGAGACGAAGATAAGTGTCACCAGTACAGAGATAAGTGAGCACGGAGACGAAGATAAGTGTCACCAGTACAAAGATAAGTGAGCACGGAGACGAAGATAAGTGTCACCAGTACAAAGACTGTCTCTTATACACATCTTGTCCCAGTAGTGTAAAACGTCTGTTAGTATGATACGTTAGTTTCGGAGAGTTATTTAAAATGCACATTAAAGTAGAACTTATACATTTTTAGACATTATTGAAAAGGTGTCGTGACCCAAAAATTTATAAATCGAAAACAAGACTTTGGATTAAACGAACTTTCAAATGAAATGTAACGATTAGCAATATTCATCAACACAAAATCAAAAGAGTTTACAAGTAATAAACACATAACATTCACTACGAAAAGAATAAATGTTATTCATTTTTGTATAAGTAAAGCATGTCCTTCTCTGAGGAAATGTTCTGTGGGGCCATCAACTTGGGTCATGTTGTCCGGGCCCGACGAGGACCCGTGCGAGGAGATGGACAGCTTCCCGAAGGACGGGGATGACCCGTACTGAGTGGCGTAAGTCACGGGGAACTGGGGTCCTGACCCGTGGCTGGGGGAAATCTGCTGGGGGTGTGGGGTGTCCACGACGCGGTGGTGGGTCACCGGAGACCGAATTGGGAGGAGCGAGAGCGTGAGGGTAAAGAGGGAAGAAAATGAGGGGAGAAATGTTAGTGGAATACAATAGCGTTTGGAAAATACAAAGAGAAAGTGATCAGGTCAGGGTAATAAAATTCGTGAGTGAAGGGACAAAGGAATAGGAAGATGATAAGGCCAAAGAAACCATAAAAAGTTTATATACCAAGGTATTGATCAAAAGATAGAACCAAAGCGCACATTGAAAAGAATTAGTGGTCACTGACAATCCTACATTATAAATAGTTGTTAATAAAAGCACATTATATAGCGTTCATTATAATAAACTATTTTCTAAATGTGAAATTAACAACACGGCAAGAATACAGGCTGAAAGCAGGAGCTTATGACTCGCTCTCTTGAATGCTCGTGACTGATGCATTGTTATAAAAAAATATGGCGACGATGTAACTTGGGCGAGAAATTATCGTGTTGTGTTAATANACTTGGCTACCCCTGTCTCTTATACACATCTAGATGTGTATAAGAGACAGCTCATATATCATCCAGTTATCTACCCTCATATATCATCCAGTTATCTACCCTCATCTACCGTGCAGTTATCTACCCTCATCTACCACCCAGTTGTCTACCCTCATCTACCACCCAGTTATCTACCCTCATCAACCGTCCAGTTACCTACCCTCATCTACCGTCCACCTCATCTACCATCCAGTTATCTACCCTCATCTACCAGTTATCTACCCTCATCTACCAGTTATCTACCCTCATCTACCGTCCAGTTATCTACCCTCATCTACCGTGCAGTTATCTATCCTCATCTACCACCCAGTTATCTACCTTCATCTACCAGTTATCTACCATCTTGGTGTTGTCGCTGAAGCCGATGCCGGTCCAGCGTTGGGGGGCCGAGGACGTGACGGAGTACCGCACCAGGTCCTCCCCCTCCAGGTACTCCCACCGCGCGTGGTACTTGCAGGTGTTGTCCCGCACCGAGCACCCCGCGGGGGACCCGAACTGTCCCCCACACCAGTCCACGGTCTGGGCCCCGGGGGCGCGGGAGGCTGTATCCCCTGGAGGATTTAGAGGTGGTTAATAATTTTAAAATTGTTGTATGATTGAGAGATTTTGTTTGTGGATGAGTTACAAGCCATCCGTCAATAACGTGCCCCTTCCAGTACCCGCATAACGTACCCCTTCAGGTACCCCCACAACCTACCCCATCAAGTACGCCCATAACGTACCCCTTTACGTACCCCAACAACGTGCCCCTTTAGGTACCCCTATAACCTACCCCATCAAGTACCCATTCTAGTACCCCCATTACGTACCCCATCTAGTACCCCAACAACGTGCCCCTTTAGGTACCCCTATAACCTACCCCATCAAGTACCCATTTAGTACCCCATAACGTACCCCTTCTAGTATCCTCAGAGAACTATAACTGTGGGGGTACTAGAATGGGTACTAGAAAGGGTACGTTGTGGGGGTTCATTCTAGTACCCCATCAAGTACCCCTACAACGTACCCAGGAGTTCCATGGTGAGCGTGCCCCTCTGGTCACCCCGGCCGTGGTACTTGAGTTCATCCCTCCTGTAGAAGTCGGGGACGGAGGGCGCCCCCTTCTCGAGACCTGACGGGGGGCTGTGTACGTAGCGTCCCGGCTCCTGGCCCAGGGCCCAGATCACGTGCATGGGGCCCTTCTCTATGGCCTGGTCGCTGGGGTGTGTGGCTGCAGGTGGGGTGAGGGGTGAGTCGTAATAAATACATCCCAGCAATTAAAAATAATAGGTGATGATATAAATGTTACTTTAAGATCTGCTAGCAGTAACGGGCTTGACGTAAAACAAATGTAATTAAAAATAATAGATAGTGATATAAATGTTACATTATTCACACGGGCTTGACGTAAAAGTAAGGTAATTAAAAATAATAGATGATGATATAAATATTATTACACTACCAGCATTAGTATCTATCGTACCCAGGACAGGCTTGCGGAAGACGATGGTGGTGACGCCGTCCTGCTCCCAGCCCAGGGCCGCCGTGATGCTGTCTTCTCCTCCCCAAAAGGAGTCGGGCCGGGGAGTAGACCGGTCCCTGGTGTAGTAATCCATGACACGGTAACTGTTACCGTGTGCGGTACCCACCACGATGTCGGTGCAGTCCATAGCGTGCAGTCCCGCATCCCGCGGCACCCACGGGGTATCTCCTGACAACCCTGGGGATGTGTAGGGATGGTACTGAGTAATGTCATGGGGATACCACGGCATTACTCAGATACCATTTCAATACCACGGAGGTATTCATGATTTTCATGAATAATGTAGAGTTTCAAATTTGCCCATATTCTAAATTTGTTAGTATAATCACACAAGTTGAATTTATGAACATCACCCCTTATGTAAAGTTCTTCGAACACTATCATCGGTATTAGAGCACGAGCAATTTTTATTTTAATTTTAAGAAGAAATAAACTTGACATTAATTAGTTCTTTTAGAAATTTCCTTTGGTTCTTTTAAAATTACGATTTTCAAGGATATAGAAAGCAAGCCGAAATGTGGTTCCAAGATAAAACAAATAGAGATAATTACTGAGAGTGAGAGATCAAAATAAGAAAGAGACACTTACTATCCATCTTGGCATTAGCGCCGATCTCGGCTGAAGCTTTGGGTTCAGCTTCAGGCTCAGGCTCAGCTTTAGAGTCAGCCTCAGACTTTGGCTCAGCCTCGGCTTCAGGCTCAGGCTCAGCCTTGGCATTGGGTTCAGCCTTCGATCCAGGTTCAGCCTTTGATTCAGGCTCAGGCTCTGCTTGAGTGGAGGTAACCACTTCCCCGGAGACAGTTTCGTTGCCGCCCGACTTGAGTAGCGGGACTGCGAACCGCCTGCTTCGTCTGCTCAAAATAATTCATAGAATCGTAACAGAAAATTCACGGAAAGATTTATAAACATTAATATTCCGAGGAGAGCCTTTCATTCATATGCTTTTTATTAAACACCAGCATCTGTAATACGACTTTTGTTTTGTAATAACGCGAGTTTAAAAGTACCAACAATACAATTTACCAATTAACGTCATGTAAGAACCCCATGCATGCAACACGGGGACTAATTTTGTCTAAACTTCTCTTCATGCTAATCCGTGCACTCTAATTGAATGGATTTTTTTATGTATGTTCCAATATATTCACATTGCAATATGCTAACATGCCTGATGAAAAGACATATTTAAAATTCTCAAGTGACATAATATTTATTAGAATGAACCGAGTATGAGTACCAATCCGGTCGGCAGTCGTTCACTAGCCAAGGATTTTTATGTTTAAACGGATAATGAATTTATCTACGGATAATTAATGTATATTTCGAAGCTTTCAATAATTTCCAACACACATTATGAATAAATGTGTTAATTGAAAATTTGAAAGAATATAAAAATGAATGGATTATTTCAACGTTTAAATAACCAATAAGGATTATAAATGAAAGGATTGAATGAAAATATCAATATTTTCTATACGCTATACGTAGAAGCAATCAATTTGTTATACGCATTATAAATGAACGGATCAATTGGAGGTATAAATAACTTACTATGCACATTGGAAACGATCGAATGAATTAATCGAAGGTGTCAGTAATTATCTAAATGCATTATAGTATCATTAATACAAATACGAGATGTACTCACGACAGCCTGCGTTGCTGGATGACACTCCTCCTGCCTCTGTTGTTGGGCACCAGCAGCCCTGACAGGCGGTCTGTACATGGCGGCAACCATAAAGTTATTTTTTATTTTATGAAAAATATGTCATGAAATAATACCTATAATATACTTAATAGGAAAAATAATATAGTAATTCAGAAATAATTCAATCAAGACCGACTTGCCTGTTGCCGAGTCAAAATCCTTGAAAATGTGAACCAATAAAATATTACAGACTTTTAAAAGTTTTCTAATTGATTAATCACTCAAGACAGGCAGAGAAAACACAGCAAAAATTGTGCAATAAAGCGCATACAAGTTTTGAACATGCTAACAAAAACAGGAGCAACAAGCAAGAAAAGAAAGCATGGAGAAGAAGTGAGCAAAATGGAGTTAATATAGGACCGTGTACAGGGATAGGATACTGTACGTGAGTGAGCAGGATAATGCGAGGAGTTAATTGTTTATTAAATTGTACGTCATTAAATCATTTCTTATGTAATGCACAACAAAAATAACCACAAAGAAATGTTCGAACAAATAAAAATACAAATCCTACATTAAAACAAAATTAAAACCGGTAATGCGGCAAACGAAAAATGTCCCAATTCGTGTACATTGCAAAAACGCAATCTAAAGAAATAAGAAATAGAAGAATGTATCACAATAGAACTTAATAAAATGGATCAATTTATTACCAATCATATTAACAAGTGAACTAACGGTCTAAAAATTGTACATCGTAAAGTGGCAGACAAGCCATCATATATGGCGCGTGACGTAACATAAAGTAGCACAGCAAATAAATAATAACAAATTAATTAAAAATACGAAAACAAAAAGAAAATAATTAAAATAACAAAACACGTTGACTGACTCATCCCTCATAAAAATGTATGGTTTATATTGTGCAACTAGTGAAACACTTTCTTACACCAGAGGGCGGACGCAGCAGTGAGACGTACTTCGATCGGGATGACTGACACAAGGCAAAAGGTGCATCGCTTTTGGGACAGTCTCACTCATTTCTTTGAGTACCAGGATAGGCTTTAGAAATCTACGTAAGAACATTAGGTAGATTTCAGATCTACGTAAGAAAATTTCGTATATTTCCAATCTACTTAAGAACTTACGTAGATTTCAAATCTACGTAAGAACATTACGTAGATTTCAGATCTACTCAAGAACATTACGTATATTTCAAATCTACTCAAGAACATTACGTATATTTCAAATCTACGTAAGAACATTACGTAGATTTCAGATCTACTCAAGAACATTACGTACATTTCAAATCTACTCAAGAACATTACGTATATTTCAAATCTACGTAAGAACATTACGTATATTTCAAATCTACGTAAGAAAATTTCTAACTTTACAGGGTGTCATCGAATTAAATTGCGTGAATGATAGCGGTGAGAAATAAATGAACTCAATATTATACATTTAATTAATTAACGTTCCATGCAGACACTCGACGTAAAAATAAATACATGGCAGGTAGGCATCTATAGCAGCTCGAATAAATACAACAAAAGGAAGCGCTTTTATTAAATTAAAAAATAACAGACATTCATAACAGTACCAATCAGACGAGACTACAGGACGTCTTTCTCTACTATAATAGCGTCCTGCCATTAGATTAGATTATGCAAGTTTTTGAACATCAATTGCGTGAACAGTGATAATACAATATTAAAACATAAGCACATTTATTGATCAATCTTCTGACGGATTTGTCACAAAAGCATAAAATTTATAAAAATACTAAAATAATCACGAGCCAGTAGCTATCAAGCTTGAGGTCCGACGTCACTCAGAGAAAGACGTGGGTCGAAGCTCCTCACCTTTATTCTGTCTCCTACGCTCGGTTGTTGTAGACGATGTTGATGTGCTGGTTGTAGGGAACGCGGTAGTAGAAGTAGTGGTATAAGGCGTGGTTGTAGATGTGCTATATGTAGTTGTGGGCTGCCTGGTAGAGGTAGAATACGTTGTTGTTGTAGGTGTACTGGTAGATGTAGAATACGTCGTTGTTGTAGGCGTGCTGGTAGTTGTAGAATACGTCGAGGGCAGTCTGGTAGACGACGAAGAGGAGGTAGACACCCCCGCTGTAGTTGATGTGATAGGGAGAGAAGTAGTAGTAGATGTAGGTGTTGTAGTGGGTGTGGTTGTAGGTGTTGTAGTGGGTGTGGTTGTAGAGTTGTAGTGGGAGTTGTTGTAGGTGTTGTAGTGGTTGTAGTGGGTGTGGTTGTCGGTGTTGTAGTGGGTGTGGTTGTAGGTGTTGTAGCGGGTGTGGTTGTAGGTGTTGTAGTGGGTGTGGTAGAAGTAGTCCCATCGCTGGTCAAAGCAGGATTAGTGGTTGTCGTAGTCGAAGATGTTGAAGAGGTGGTGGATAGATATGTGGTGGATGACATCAAAAGAGTACTAGAAGACGCTGTAGGAGCACTAGAAGGCGCTATAGAGGCACTAGAAGACATTATAGGAGTGCTAGAGGACGTCATAGGGGTGCTAGAAGACGTCAAAGAGGTGTTATAAAACGTTATAGGAGTGCTAGAAGATGTCGGAGTGGTGATAGGATACATCTGAGAAGTACCAGAAGATGTCATAGGAGTTCCAGCAGACGTCAGAGTACTCGTCATTTTTGTCTGGGATGTGATCGTAAAGAAAGGAGGAATCATAGGAGCCACAGCAGTGAATTCAGGATTAGGGGAAAGAAGCGAAGAAGGTTCGCTACTACGTCTAGTGGCAGCAGTAGAAGCAGCTTGGGGTCCAGTCGCAGCTGTGGTACAAGCAGCGGATGTAAAAAAAGGTAGAATTAGTGTAAACTTGTGCGCTTCTTATAGAACTTGAGGGTAGGAAGTTGGCAAGAAGGCACAAAAATCGCTGCAGAAAAGTTGAAAATGTCTTTCTCGAATTCAACTGGGACAATTGAAGCAGCGACAGAAAGTGAAAAAGGATGGTGACGGTAATGAAAAGGCGGAAGAAAACGCGGCGAAGAATTGTCTGAAGTTTGAATATTATTGAATTTATGAAAATGCGGCAGTATGCAAAATTTGGATTAAAATCACATCTATACAGTAATATAGTTGGTCCCAGGCCGGTCGCAGATGAATTCGGACCAAAAATCCAAGTATCAACATTATTCAAGTATCGTCTGACAAGCCAATTGTTTCCACTGAATTTCTGCGATCATGAAGAAAAAGTGAAAGCTTACAATTGGGCCTGACCTTCGCCTTCATCTCAAAGCTTCTTATTCTCTGTCCCTTCACGCAATATTCGGCATCTCAGTCTGTCATATGAGTTACGCATGAGGTTGACGATTTTCCTTGAGATGCGGTATAGTGTCACAGCAGTTCCCACACGCAGCGTCTCTCGGTCCACACTGCATGCCGAATCCCTTCACGTGGTCTACAGAATTGACGTATAGAGGCTAGTTCCACTCGATGGACTGTTCTACGATGATCTGAAGAGTCGCTTGGCCTTTAAAAAATTGGTCTTGTCGGAAGCTTGCCAGGCGGTCCCGAATCATAAATTCCGTTGGGACATTCAGTTCGCCCTTTTTGAGAACCCTGATCGCCACTTGGACAAAAGTGATGCCTATGTAATTCCCGCATTGGCTGAAGTCTCCATTTTTGAAATTTTTTACGAGATGTCCCTCCTTCCAGCCTGCCGGGACTTGTTCCACTTCCCAAAACCTCTACGAGTAGAACGTTCAGTGCAACATGTTGTGGAAATATCCGGGTCGGCCTTCAGCGCCTCTGCTGGTCTCTCATCTGGTCCTGGAGTCTGTAATATTCCTCTGTTGGGATGATCTCTGCTTTGAAGTGCTTGATATAGCTTATTTGGACTAAGATGGAAACATTTATTAGTTTTAACAGAAGCTGTGGTCATCAAAGCTAGCACGCTTAAACCCAAAATTACTGTATATATATAGGCTGGTTACTTAAGGGAGCGTCATCTAATTAACTTGATTCAGGCCTCAAAAACTTTCAAAAATGTTATAAAAATTTAAAAATATTTTAAAAATTCTTATACAGGTTGTCATGATAGAAATGTGGCAATGAAATAAATTAGATGACAGTAACAACGTAAGTACTTCAGTGCAGAGGCATATGGGTGATTAAAGTATATTTACGTTACGATGGTGTGAAATTTAGGCATTGCTATGTGTTGCAGTTGACATTAAGTGCTTGTTGAGAATGATAAAAAAGTAGAATACAGAAAAGGGTTATAATTAGAAATACAATGAAGGAAAAAGAATACCCAATTCTATCTAAAATGTGGGTATAATGTTCCACCCCGAGAAAAGTTCTCGAATAAATGAGTTTTTCTTCTGTGGGCGGCCAGGCAGTAAAACTACATTAGAGAAAAAAGTTAAGATGGAGCATGCGCCTCATAAAGCGCGAGAAAAATATTACAGTACATGCGAGAACCTGGAAGTAACGCTCGCTCGTGCACAGCGCTGTTCTCCATAGCATGTTCAGTGATGAAGCATGATGCCAGAACTAGAACTGCTAGGACAAAACTGATGAAGAATAGGACTAGCGGCTGATGGAGAGATAGGGATTGTATAGAATTGAAAAATGTAGATATGATAGAATAGGGATACAAGGACAGAACTAACAAGGAGTCAGGAACAGAACTAACAAGGAAAAATAGGCAGAACTAACAGGAAAGCATATGCAGAACTAACAGGAAGGCATAGGCAGAACTAACAGCTGGAGAACAGAGGCAAATGCCGGAGAGATGGGGACATGAGTTCGTGGCGTTGTTAACTGAGAACACAACAAGCAGCAGCCAAACGTATGCAGGAGCTGCTGTAACTATCATGAATATCCCAAATTGTTACATAAGAAAATATAGACAAAAGTTATCAGGGCAGGTCATAGTATTTCGCCATGACCATTACATCGCTTGTCGACCAAAATTAAAACATCGTGAGCATCCATAGGACTTCTCTACGTGACAGAAATGTTGTACGCAATGGTTCAGAGGATGGAAGGACGCAGGAGGTCAGAGGATGGAAGGACGCAGGAGGTCAGAGGATGGAAGGACGCAGGAGGTCAGAGGATGGAAGGACGCAGGTCAGAGGATGGAAGACGCAGGAGGTCAGAGGATGGAAGGACGCAGGATGTCAGAGGATGGAAGGACGCATGAGGTCAGAGGATGGAAGGACGCAGGAGGACAGAGGATGGAAGGACGCAGGAGGTCAGAGGATGGAAGACGCAGGAGGTCAGAGGATGGAAGGACGTAGGATGTCAGAGGATGGAAGGACGCATGAGGTCAGAGGATGGAAGGACGCAGGAGGACAGAGGATGGAAGGACGCAGGAGGTCAGAGGATGGAAGGACGCATGAGGTCAGAGGATGGAAGGACGCAGGAGGTCAGAGGATGGAAGGACGCAGGAGGTCTAGGGATGGAAGGACGCTGAGTTGTTTCAAATCCTGGGTAGGTCGTTGAACGGGATGTGTGGATTTGGTGGAAATTCTATTGGTTGCGGTAAGTTAGTGGGTGTTCGGGTTGCGGGAAGTTGGTGGACATTCTAATTGTGGCCACAGAGGCTCACAGACGCCTCAGTTAGGGGCGAAAATTGCAGCAAGAATGTCAAGTTAACCTCAGCATGGCTGCTTAAACGGAACCATAAAACCATAAATAATGTTTTTCACGTGTACGGTATATGGTTTGAGCTGAAAACATCCTTTGGAAATAACATCTTCCATACGAAGTCAATAAATAAGAAAGATTTGATGACAATTTTTGCGTAACTCTTCGTCAGATCCACCTGGCGTTGGCAACATCTACGCGATGAGGCGTCCACATCCCGCATAATGAAGCTATATTACAATGCGCAATAATTGTAATAATTACAAACAATAATTGAAGCATTAACGAAGACTTGGCTTGTAACTTGCGAATTCGGGCATTGAAGAGATGGTTACTCAACTAAGACAGCTGGCTTTTGTATCAGCTATAGATTAACATAGTTATGCAGTACATATGTTCAAATATAGTGCGTATGAGTATAATACACACGTTCAAATCTGATGGCTATACCTTAACAGTATTGTAATCGTCAACAAGCTTAGATGCTACAAACATAATAGGAACTGTGTGCATACAAATTGTTTTATGAGATAAATGCATTTTTTTATTGAATACGCACGCTTAATTCCATGTATAAATAACCTTAACATTAGATTTATATGATGGATTATGAGAGCATGGGTTAAGGTTGGTTAAGAAGCCGGCAAATTTACTTAGAGCAAAAATGGACACCATACCGACAGAACCTATTAATTAGTGCAATGTTTTCCACTGATACCAAATTTAAAGCCAGGTCCTTTAATTACTGCAATAATATTTACCACGATCAAAGTTACTTCAATGACAGTTACTGCGACTTCAATAAGGTAGCAGCGAAACTGGTGACCACACTAGGGTTTATGAGGAGTGTAGCTGATATAAAGAGAGCACATGCACATTAAAGTATTACCAGCCTAATCCCCACGCCCGTGACATGCAAGCCTCAAGTACTAACATACGCGGGGAAGTCGCGGGGAAGTCAAGAGAAAGTCGCGGGGAAGTCGCGGGGAGGTCGCGGGAAAGTCGCAGGAAAGTCGCGGGAAAGTCGCGGGGAGGTCGCGGGAAAGTCGCAGGAAAGTCGCGGGAAAGTCGCGGGGAGGTCGCGGGAAAGTCGCGGGAAAGTCAAGGGGAAGTAGCGGGGAAGTTAAGGGGAAGAGGCACATACCTGACAGGCTGCGGGGTTTCTCGGTGACGTCGCCCTGAGTCGCGCGTTCAGTCGTGGTTCCCGTGGTCGGTTCTGGTTTCGGTTCTTTCGGACTACTGGTAGGCTCAGGTTCGGGTTCCGGCTGACTAGTAGTGCCGGACGCAGGTTCACTTTCGGGTTCGGGTTCACTTTCCGACTCGGGTTCGGGTTCAGGAGCAGTTGCTGGTCCAGATTTAGTAGACGTTTCGTTTTTCTTCTTCTGTATCGCATCCAACAGCGCGGCGTCCTGCTGCTTCCACATGGTCCCCCCAACATCCCCAGCGATGTAAGGGAATTGTCGGCATGTGGTGGTAACACTGCTAGGTCTCCAGCCCACTGCTATGTACGAGGTACCATTACCTACCAGTGCTACCTCTATCTGGTCCGTCTGGTCAGGGTTCTTGACGAAGCGATAGTACATCACCAGCCGAGGGCCAAGTTCTTTCTTTACGAACATGTTCAGGTTAACTTGGTTCGCCTGGCGCAGAAGCGAGGCTGGAAAAATGTAAACTGTTTCAGTCAGGTATCAAAATAATGTGAAGGACGCATGAGGACGCACCCATGTTAACCGGCCAGTAATTTATAGTATTCTGAGGCAGCGAAATGAAAAATGTCTTAGTAAGTAAATGAGGTTTACAGGATGAAATATATCGAGTAATTTTTTATAACATTTTTCAATCAAAATCCTATCTTGACTTAAATGAACAATTGAAGATGAAGAAATGTTAATTAAAAATAGCGTCAAGAACGTCGAGTACTCCTGAACAACGTTCACAAATCATCAGGATAATGATTATGATACCTAACATATCACTCACAAAAATGGGCGAGGCTTTGTCATAATAGCGAAAAACTTATTACTTTTCTGTGGGTCATGCTTACCCTGTTTGGCCAGATAAAGAACAATTGGTCTGTGCAGAAAATGTGTCACTCCTTGAACATATTACCCATGAACATATTATTGGGTAATATTGAATATATTAACAACATATTATTATTGAACATATTATTGTATAATATTGAACATGGGTAACATTGAACATATTACTCGTGTATTCACCCAGAGTCCCGTGACTCACATTTACTGCACTCATGACTCACATTTACTGCACTCGTGACTCACATTTACTGCACTCATGACTCACATTTACTGCACTTGCTGCCGAAGCGGCCCTGTTGACAGTAGCACTGCTTCTTGGGATAGGAAGTAGCGTCGATGTCAACACATTTGCCATAAGTACCACAGTCTGCGTCAGTCTCGCACTCGTTGTAGTACTGGCAAGAGGCGCCGTAGTAGCCTGGGTTACAGCGGCACTTGTCCACCATGTAGATGCCGTTCTTGCTGCACTTCTCTCGCATTAAGCGGCCTGTAGCAAGCAATACAAGTTGAAATTGCGTTATGATATCGCATTAAGCGGCCTGCAGCAAGCAATACAAGTTAAAATTGCGTTATGATATCGCATTAAGCGGCCTGTAGCAAGCCAAAACAAGTTGAAATTGCTTTATGATATCGCATTAAGCGGCCTGTAGTAAGCCAATACAAGTTGAAATTGCGTTATGATATCGCATTAAGCGGCCTGTAGTAAGCCAAAACAAGTTGAAATTCTTTTACAAAAGTTAAACAAGTTAATATTGCTGAAAAGGAAGTAAACAAGTTGAAATGCGTTATGTTATATACTAGGTCAAAACGCCTACAAAATTTACAATTTTTTTTTTTTGTTTTCTTGGCTGGAATTTTACGGTTAGATTATAATGTGGGCAAACTAATTATATTTTTAATGAATTTTCTCCTTGGTACAGTGGTACGAGATAGTGTTAATAATCGAAAAAAAGATGAGCGCATTTCGTAAATTTTCTCAGGCCAATTGTAGAGGATACTTTAATTGCATATCGAGAGTATATAGACGATGGCTCCAGAGCAGGTTTAAAAGCTAGGTTTGTGTTCGACAGCTTTGCTCTCATTCCAACGACAAATGAAATCGACAATTTTATTTTAAATTTCTATAAATTGACAATCAAATTTTATACAGCAGTGAAAGCGAGATTTAAACGAACAGATGCACCTAGGTTTTTTACTCGCAACGCCTACGGTATTTAATCTACGAGTAGGTACGTTAATATCAACGAATCAACGCGCCTAATTTTGACCATTAATTCTAGCTCGGTGGATGACTCGGCATTATGACCGAGGCCCAGCGTTAGTTTGTGATTATATGACCGAGTTTTTTCTCAAATTTGTTAGAATGAAAATGTTGAAAAAACAAGTTGTTTAAACGGTTTCGTTGAAATTGGCGACTATTGGCAGTCGTCGGGCACTTATCATCAGCAAATATTTGTATTTGTGTCATGTATAGGTGGAAATATTCTATACATATTCATTCTAAATGACTGATGGTGCGTTGAAAAAACTGGTCACCGTGAAGTTTAAAGTAAACAAAATTATTTACATTAAACACTCCTGTTACTCACTGGATTGTTCTTGGGAAGAATTATCGCCTGTAGGCAGCATGAAAGAGAACGAGTTCGTTACAAACGAATGGCTGAACAATTTATGAAGTTATTATATTTAAATAAAATGTTGGTTGATTTGGCATGTACTAAGTTCAAGTAGAGGTTAGAGTTCAAGTAGAGGTTAAAGTTCAAGTAGAAGCTAAAGTTTGGGTAGAGGTTAAAGCTCAAGTAGAGGTAAAAGTTCAAGTAGAGGTAAAAGTTCAAGTAGAGGTTAAAGTTCAAGAGGTTAAAGTTCAAGTAGAGGGTAAAGTTCAAGTAGAGGTTAATGCTTTTGATTAACGTGATGGCTGTCGTCCTCAGCCTGCAATATTCGAACAGGCAGGTGATCAATTATATAGATCAATTACAGATATAGCCTGTAAGAATATATATAGCCTTTAAGATATAGATAGCCTTTAACATCATTTTACCAACACCCATGTTGAATGAATGAATATGAAGAAATGTTGGTTAAAATGAGCGATAAGAAAGAAAACGAGTAGAGTTCGAGTAAGCGAGTTTGTGTTAGGTTGACAGAGCGTCAGCATAATAAGTATGCAGTCATGACAGCCATAATGATTGTCATATGGAATGTTTTACAGCATCATCGCGTATCAAGAAACGCTGCCTCAAGTTATTCGATGATGCCTGATGATAGCACATTCAGCATCAACATGAAGTAAATCATGTCTACATGGACAATTCTAGAGCCTTTATAATCTAGAGGAGATTTCAAAATTTATTACAAGACCATAGACTAAAAAGAAACAAATTGAAACCAACGACAATCTCGCTTCCAGCCCTACTAGTGTCACTGAATTACCACATTTTTAATTCATCTTCCCTCCTAACCATCGCCCTCCTCTCTCAACTATCATCATTACCTTCCCATTTCACCACCCACCTTCCTCATATTTACCCCTTGATCAGCCTCCCTACTCCTAATACCCTCCCCCTAATAGGTCATTTTTATTTAAATACCCCTAATACCCTACCCCTAAAATCTTACCCCTAATACCCGACCCCTTATATCCTACCCCTAATAGGGTATTTACATTCAAATACCCTTAATACTGTACCTCTAATAGGGTATTTATATTTAAATACCCTAATACCCGACCCCTTATACCCTACCCCTTATACCCTACCCCTAATACCCTACTCCTAATAGGGTATTTATATTTAAATACCCCTAATACCCTACCCTACCCCTAATACCCACGCTTGACGATGTCAACATCAGCGCAGGACCAGAACTGGTACCGCGGCCCCCACTCGGCCGCTTGCCGCAGCAGACGCAGCACGCAGCCGCTGCACAGCGTGTCCTGGGGCAGCGTCACGCGCTGTGTCTGCGCCCTGCGGTATACGGCCGTGATGAAGGCGGCGTATGGGGCATGATGTGTCGTGGGACTATGGGACTAGGTGTGTCATGGGACTAGGTGTGTCAACCCTAACAAAATTTAGAGTCGCCCCAGCTTCTGGTAATCCAAATCAGAAGCTGACGTGGGGCTAGGTGTGTCGTGGGGCTAGGTGTGTCATGGGGCTAGGTGTGTCATGGGACTAGGTGTGTCATGGGACTAGGTGTGTCATAGAGTTGACGTAAGCAATCAAGTGCTTCATTTTTCACACAAACACAGAACGAACACTTTTTCTTAACTTCAAATTATTGCGAATTTAATGATAATTTTTCACACGTCAGTTTTTGCAAGACAACAAATGCATAAAGTTGCCATTTAATCCATTTCCAGAGCCAATAAAGGCATTACAATATTCTTTCAGGAGCCAATAATGGTAATATAATAATTATCTTAAATCGTATGGACGAAAGCAAAAAAGGTAAAAAAATATCGAACAAAATTTAAAATTTTCGTAACATGCCAAAGCCTTGGACTCACGTAGGGTCTCCCTGGACTAGCAGGGTCTCGCCGTCGCTGTTGGTGAGGTCTGCGACGACGCGCTGCTGCTGGTCTAGCAGCTCGATGCGGTAGCCCCCTTGATGAGGGTATGCCAGATGCCACGTCACGTCGAATGTAGACCCCTGCACCAGCATGGTGGTCTTGTTGCCTGCAAACAGACCGTTCAGTTAGACCCCTGCACCAGCATGGTGGTCTTGTTGCCTGCAAACAGACCGTTCAGTTAGACCCCTGGACCAGCATGGTGGTCTTGTTGCCTGCAAATAGACCCTTCTGTTAGACCCCTTCTGAACACATGCCTTTTGCTTGAAGAGTGTGGGTCAAAACAACAAACATTAAATATAATAAGAGCATTTATTCAGAGAAGTAACGATTTACTTAATGAATTTTAATCCTGAAACGAACCCATTAATAAACGATTGTTCATAAATGATCAAAGGCCATGCGGTCACCCAATGAATTAAAAATCCGGCATCATGCAGTATGGAAAACTGTCTTTTACTGGGCAAAACCTGTAATCGCACAGTAAAAGAATGAACGGTATTTTCTTTATTTTCTGATGGCACAAACGCTCAAAATATTTCTAAACGAGAACCCTGCTTGACACATTCTCATATAATATTCACAACATCGTACGTTAGGCAAAAAAGTTGAAGAAGCTTGTGCATGCCAGAGCCGTCAGTTAATGTATAATTACATGTTTTCAGCACCAAATCAAGTTTAGATATAATTTCTACCGAATCCATGAATTAGCTAGGGTGAACGTCGTTGTAAAGAATTGATTTTCAAACTTTCTCGTTTGTTTACACAAAGCAAACGAAGAATTAGCGCGTTTAAAAGATTCTTTCTCAACTACATAACATAACATAGTGATGCCGGCGCTGAAGAGTACCTATGCCTGATATGGCCTGTTGCCGATTCTTTTACTTTTCATGCCTTCTTCACAGAAGATCTAAAATCGTGTCATTTGACCGGATCTTTTCAGGCCTGACGATAGTTTGAAATATATACTAGTCTTCCACCGGGTTCGATATGGTGCCAGGCACTTCAAGTCTAAATATATATTTCTTCATAGCTTTATCTAGTCTGTTCTTGAACGCGTTCATACTTGGAGCGCCAACGACGTAATCGGAAAGGCCGTTCCACAAGTCGGTGATTCGAAGCGAGAAGAAATTTTGTCGCGTGGAGAAGCTGCAGCGCAGTATTTTTTTTAGTTTATAGTTGTGGCCTCTGGTGTTGGTTCTTGTTTCAAATTCTAGTAATCCTTCTGGGACCTTGTATAGACCATGAGTATACTTGTATGCTTCAATGAGGTCCCCACGCAGACGTCGATAACTGAGGCTTGGAAGCTTCATAATCTTCAATCTTCCTTCATATGACTTGCCCTTCATGCCCGGAATTATCCTTGTTGCACGACTTTGAACACTCTCTACTAAATTTCTGTCCTTTTCAAATCTCGGTGACCACACAACGTTTCCAAACTCTAGATTAGGGCGCACGACGGCAACAAACAACTGCTTCATCGCTTCTGCTTCTAGGAACTCGTATGAGCGTCTGATTAGTCCAAGAAGTTTGTTGGATGTGTTAGCTTGCGTTTCAACATGCTTAGAAATTTTCAGCTCGTTGTCGACGTAAACTCCGAGATCTTTTTCCACACTAGACTTTTCAATCATTATTCTCTCGTTGCAACCATGTCTTCTCATACTGTAATCTTGCTGTTCATTGTTCTTCCCGAGGTGAAGTACTTTACACTTGTCAGCATTAAACCGCAGCTGCCACGTATCAGCCCAGTTAACTAAGCTGTCAAGATCATCTTGTAATTGCGCTTTATTTGACGCATTCTTCACTGTATAATAAACTTTTGTGTCGTCGGCATACATGGCACACGCTGGACACTGCTTCTGGTAGATCGTTTATAAAAGCGACGAACAAAATAGGACCAAGAACGCTTCCATGTGGCACGCCACTGCATGCGCACTGATGCTCGCAGGGCCCATACTTTCAAAAATAGTTAAGAGATCGTAAGTTCATCAGCCAATCATTGACGCCCTTTCAAGCAAAATCCACCAATCTTAGACAAGAAAATAGAGCGTAAGTATTTATGTTAACTTGCGAGTTAAAAGTATGGCCCCAGTCTGAAACGGCTCCGTTAATACATGGCATACATATGACATACCGGTACATACTCGTAGAACATACATATATGTTCTACGAATACTGAATATAATATATTATTTCGAATTTAGTTTATAGGCATACATAGAGTTATTATTTAATTGATAACGCATCATTGTAATTGATATTGCCAATAAAACTGAAGAAAGTAAGAGTAATGAGAGTTGGGGGAGTACGTAGTGGTAAGAGAAGAAAGCTCTAGATTTCCACACGGGTGACAAGATCACGGGCGTAAAGGGCAAGCAAGGCTGAGCTCGATCAGCAAGTACATGCAATCATGCCTCCCTATACATCCTTGCTTGGCATTCCTGCACGATCTAATAAACTTCTTGTATATGTATAACAATCTCATATGTATAATGACTGCATTGACAGGCGAGATCGCAGAGGGCAAGGTTGTAGCTTCCATACTATCGTATTTTCACTAACATTCAAACACCAACACGAGAAAACACATGCACGCATGCAGACACGTACACACATGAACACGCACACTAACAAACGATCACATATAATCAAATAAAACATACATACGAAGACATACAGTAACAAATAAACATACAATAACTAACGAAGCCAGAGAGTCTAACTAATACATACTAACTCAATACACGCATTGCTACACGCACTGAGGCAATACAGGCACTAACTCAATACATGCACGCACTGCTGCACGCACTACAAGGACACGTTCCGAATTTCGTGTTTACTTCCACGACTTGAAGACAATCGATCACGTGAATTGCACTTACAACTTAAGCAGCTGTAACCCGAGCATAACTTACAGTGCGGACGATATGAGAATTGCGAATTGTTCAAAAACATCACTAAACGTCCATATTAAATACATTTTTACAACGCCCGGTAGAGAATTAAAGTAGGTGACAACTTTTAAAGCTGGTGTGGCATTTCTAAAGACGGCTGGCACACTATAACGAGTGAAAAATAACGATTTAAAAACAGCTGAATTTCGTAGTAATAATAGCATATATTCTAAATAATACAGGTAAATTAAAATTTCAGAACGGTCAGGGAATAGTTCAACCTTTTTTAAAAGATAACTTTATTTGTATCTTACTCACTTACGTGCCCAGTTTATAAGAAGATATGTTGATTATTTCGTCCCATTCTGGGAAGGCGATCTTCGAGACGTGATACGAGAGCAATAAAGTCTTGTCCCATTATTTACTGCTGTGCTAAATAGATAGAATATACTATCTAGATCGATAGAATATAGTACCGGTATCTCTATATACTAGATAGAATTTGGGCTAAATAGAATAGAATATACAATTATTGCGGATAATCCGCAATAATTGCTAGTTGTTTTTCTAATGATGAGTTTAGGACTTCGTAGTCCGCGGTCAAGCTGTGCCTATACTTTCAAAAAAATTTAAGAGATCGTAAGTTCATCAGTCAATCATTGACGGCCTTTCAAGCAAAATCCACCAATCATAGACAAGAAAATAGAGCGCAAGTACTTACGTTCACTTAGCGAGTTTTGTAAGTATGGCCCCAGGGGCCATACTTCTGATGCTCTAATTCTAAATTCGCATTTCTTTCTAGGGTCTGGACTCACCGGCTTATCTAGTAACTCGTAAGCTCATAATCTTAGTTTCCGTACTTGCGTCACTATTATTGGTTGTCTATCGTATAACTATTATAATTATTATTGTCCTCGTCCTTATTCATGTCAGGTTAATCAATTAACTTGCGAGTATCTCCTGTCGTAAAGAATTATTTGTCTTTGTTTAAATTTCACGCTTAGCTTTTTAATCGTCTTTTTCCAAACGAGGGAAGCGTAAACAATAATTAACAGCAACGTGAACAGGTTAGAAAATAAGGCAGTAAACGACACATTAGTTTCACAATATCACAACAGTAAATGAAGCCAACATAACAGTAAACAAATTAAGCACAACAGTAAACAGAGCAAGCACAGCAGTAAACAGAGCGAGAACAACAGTAAACAGAGCAAGCACAACAGTAAACAGAGCAAGCACAACAGTAAACAGCACAAGCACAACAGTAAACAGCACAAGCACAACAGTAAACAGCACAAGCACAACAGTAAACAGCACAAGCACAACAGTAAACAACACAAGCACAACAGTAAACAGCACAAGCACAACAGTAAACAGCACGCGACGCAGGCAAGACGGAGTGCGTGGGAAAATGCGCTGTCACACGTCGTTATGACGCCGTTATTAAAGCGGCATGCACCGTAAAACGTCGAAATGCTGCGTTAATTATCGTAATAGAAACACTTTCTCATCTGTATCACTTATATTGCCATAATCATCTACTATGTCATCCATAATAATCTATATCCATCACTATATCATTATCGTTGCATTGCCCATAGTATCTCACTTATCTGTATCATCCAAATCATACTTCTAATTCAGATTATTCCCATCATTGGTGTTCATCATATTATTTTTAATCCGCATCACCACTATTACTTACATTGTCGGACTCTATCTCATCCTCTTCATGCGTTTCATATACATTATCATCCATATCACTCTCTTCATCTGTATCATTCTTATCAACCTCATCATTCTCATTAAGCGTTCACAATGGTCAGATCGAAATACTTCTGTAACTCGCTCACACGAGTGGTCGGTCAGCCTCCTATAGTGGCCACCAGCTTATGGCTACTCCACTCTCACGAGTGGTCGGTCAGCCTCCTAGTGGCCACCAGCCTATGGCCTGTCTCTTATACACATCTAGATGTGTATAAGAGACAGCTCACGAGTGGTCGGTCAGCCTCCTAGTGGCCACCAGCCTATGGTTACTCCACTCTCACGAGTGGTCGGTCAGCCTCCTAGTGGCCACCAGCCTCATGGCTACTCCACTCTCACGAGTGGTCGGTCAGCCTCCTAGTGGCCACCAGCCTATGGCTACTCCACTAAGCATCCATTTGCTTTCTCCATGCCATGCGTTCGAATTAAATGGAATTACGAATACGAG